GCTATACAAACAAAATTGAATTGAGTTTTGGAGATATTGACCGTGGAGATGTCTGCCTCCTCTCCAGTATAATGGAACCAGGCGGCACTCGACTTGTGGTGCTCAAAAGCACCAATACATTTGAAAAAATAATTTAGCAAAAAACCTTTTCCTCAAGATAATACACAGACCGTGTTGTAAGCAATTTCATATCACGCAGCGTGCATCTACTCATGGACGAGAGGCTTGTGCTCATAACAGAGCAGGATGTAAACATAAATGGCACCCTCCTCGGCTGAGTAGTAACGTTAGCTAGCTCAGAAATGCACAATTCCTTGTGTGTTGTGATACGCAGAAAAGAAAAATTTCCTTGGTGGGTGTAGTTCGATATCTGTTCCATTGACAATGTAGCACATTATCCATTAAATTTGACTTTGAGAAACTTACAAGTTGAGACTTTGCCGGACAGAAAGGTCTATTATTATTATTACTTAGATGTTGACCTGATCACTCCAAGTGGAAAACTGGTATAAATAATCACTCGACCCCATTAGCCATTGTCTCATGGGATATGCAGTTCTTAAATGCACACAATAATTGTGTGATGAGACAGACATATTTGACTGTCCAGTGCTGTACAGTGGTTGACACCTACAAAGTGAGCTTAATAATACACATATGATAATATTGTATATAATAATCCAGCACCTCTTTAATCATTTCCGAGACAAAACACACAATAAAACAATAAAAGTGAGGAAAGAGGAGAAGAGGAATTTTCACTTAAATGTTCTTTAGATATCACAATAATATTGCTATTGTGAATTCCTTTGGCCACGATATTATAAAGATATCAGTGAATGTTTGATATCGTGACAGCCCTACTTCACAAATACAAACATGAAACATGGTTATATGCACCAATTGTGAATTATTGGCACATATTGCTTTTCTATTCATTTTGTCTTTGTCTTATTACTCAAGCAGGTTTTCCATGTGGCTGTACATCATGACGGATGGGATGTGAGCTGGGGAGATGTTGGCGTATGCTTTGTGAATAGAGGCGGTGATATCACTGGGCTTTGAGCCCATGCTGCCCTCCCAGCCAATATTCAGAGACAGCTGTCTCCCTTGGCTACTCTTAACTCAGCCTCCACTTCCTCTGAGCCTGGCTGAGTCGAACTGGAGGGAATTATTAGAGGAGAGAGTGGAACACTGGTATGCTGTAATACAACTTTCTGTTAAAAAATGTTCAACATTTCTGCTTTTTTGGACAGTTAACAATAGAAAGAGGAATACCTGAAGGAAGCAGGGAGAGAAAGTACACTGTATTATATTATGTGTAATGTATTGGTCAGACCGTTTGATCAAAGGTAACGAAAATAACATTTAATTCTATTAAGTATTCTGTTTTGCATTAGGAACAGTCTGAGCATGTACAGTATAAACTCAATTTTTGTGAATCATGCAGGATGTCTATGTGGCCCAGTGACCAGTTCACAGACAGACTGTGAGTCAGAGCATACAGTCTGTTGATATAAAGAGAGTGTAACCATATGTTTCCAAATTGATGAGTCACTTATGATCAATGTGGTAACTCCAAGAGGAAATGTGTTGATTGCGTTCAGTTTGTCTGTTAACTTCAGAAACACTTTTGTACATTTGCGTGACATAAACCTTACACAGGGGTCATTTTTAAAGACAAAGTAAAATAA